TTAATTAAGAGAAATTATACGATAATGTACCCAAATAATCGAAATAATATGGTAAATAAATGTTTAAAGAAATTGTTCGATGGAAACGGAAAATAAATCTCAAACCGGAAAACATATCGCAAATAATTCTTTCATCACATCGAGTAATTATGAATATAATTTAGGCGGTAGTAGGGTATTGTGTACTGAACTGCAAGTCCTTTCTTCTTTGTTACTTCTTGCTTCGAATTATGTGTCAGTTGCCACAAGGATGCTTGAACAAAATAATATTATAAAGATAAATTGAAAGAGTACTGTTACATCGAGAATCGCATTCACTTGATATTTGTATTGACTTAAACATTGCGTCTGTTTAACTTGTGTAGTAATTTATTTGTTATTGTTGACGCCGTAATTTCCCTTGATTGACAGTGTGCTTCTACACACTTTGTTACGAAACAATTGAGAGAGTCTTCGTGGCAATTGCTTGCCCAGACATGTCTCGCTTAGACATGGATAGTTTCGGTAATTTGCTTTAAATAGCGCTTTACTTTTGCAGGGAATGGCGCTCATTTCGTTGTAATTTGTAAATAAGTTAAACTTGTTCAGCGACCTTGGCTTTGTGTTTTGACTGTAGGACGATTAAATAATGTAGATTATGGCTGCCCACATAGACCTAGTTAAGGATATTTTATGAGCATTAAATGGCCTTTTGTGATTGTTTTTACAGTTATAGTTTATTTAATTGATTTGTTCGGATTTCATTGACGAATGATTTCATGTTCAACTTATGATAATTTAAGCCTGGAATAGCAGACAAATTCGGTATGTTATAATTTGTAACTCTTTCTGATTTGAAGGCTGCAAGTTATTTAATAGTAATATGGTTCGACTTAATAATTTACTATGTTTGATAATGTGTTCATAAATTTGAGTAGGCTTTCCAAAGGCCGAATTGTGTATGATTATTTATTTATTGCAAGTATTTTGTATTGATTTGTTTTTACGTTTGTATTAAGATAACCGTGTCAACTGTATACTTCGAGTTGTGTGATTTTCTGGATTGAGGATACAAACTTGGGGCTTGAAAGACCGCGTTATTGAACTGTTAATAAATATCTAGTGTGCAGTCGGTGTCGTCCAGGTCACAAAGAACGGCTGTTACAAGTACATTCTCTCAACCTTCCTACCCTCGACCCACTGCCCGCGCTCAACCAATCTTCCCAACCACAACCTACTGCGCATCTCCCCCAACCTTCCTATCCTCGACCTACTGCCCATTTCCTAAAACCTCGCCCCACTTCGCTATTTCCCCTCCACCTTCCTATCCTCATCCAACTCCCCTCCTATTTCTGCCCCCTTTTTCAACCTCCCTTCAACCCTGCTATCCTCACCCCACTTTCCTACCTCCCTTTAACCCTCCTATCCTCACCCCATTTTCCTACCTCCCTTTAACCCTCCTATCCTCACCCCACTTTCCCACCTCCCTTTAACCCTCCTATCCTCGCCCCACTTCCCTACCTCCCTCCTATCCTTACCTCCCTCCTATCCTTACCCCGCTTCCCTATCACTTTTCAACCCTCCTATTCCACCCTACTTCCATCTGCCCTGAGCCCTCCTATCATCGTCCAATCCGTATAGCTTCGTTCTGATGGTCCCACCCAGCATTACTTACCCGCAATTACGCAAACGCCCAGGCATTAAACGGCTCGAGTATGCCAATGAGATGATTGAAGCGTATGTCGACGAAACAAGCATATAAAGTTGACGGCATTTCTGACATATTATTAAGGACTATATTCATAGGTATTTCATGGGTATGAAATATATTTATAGCTCCAGTGAGCGTAGATGATGATGTGAATGCTTGAAATATTGGAATGGCACTTATATTTATTATTTGCCTTTTCGAACATAGGCTGGAATTTCAAATAGTAATCAATCACCATAATTGGTAGCTTAAAAATGTGATACCTGCCAGGCAACTGATGCACGAGAACTACTCGTCTAGAGCAGTGATTCCCAAAGTGGGCGATATCGCCCCCCGATGGGCGAAAACGATACAGAGGGGGCGATAGGGGTAGGGGGGCGATTTCGCGTAACCTGTTTTTTTTTTTTTTGGCGCATCGATGTACTTGATTACTGTACTCTGCGTGAATTTTGAATTGGCCACGGGACAAAACATTAACATGAATAAAACCGAAATTTTATGTATAACTAGGGACGCGAGACAAAAACTTCTCAATTCACCATACAGAATATATATGAAGGACACCGTAAAAATCCTAGGCGTTTACTTCGGAATAGACCAAGTACGGAAAACCTGGAATGATAGCATCATCAAACTCACCAAAACCCTGAATTTTGTCAAATCACGACATCTCACGTGGTATGGCAAACTCAACGTAATAAACGCCCTGCTAGTATCATTAATAATTTTCCATGCTCGCGTTATTGAAGTCCCACCAAGTAAAATACAACAAATACAGCGTCTAATCTATAAGTTCTTTTGGCACCCAGAAAAAATTGAAGCAATCGCTAGGACAACTCTACAAAGAGGAAAAAAGGTCGGGGGTTTTAACACCATAGACGTCAAAGCAAGAATCAACGCATGCCAAGTGGAAAAAATGCGGGAACTTGTGAAAATGGAGACACCTAGCCAGTTCTGGCATTTCGAGGCTCTCTACTCTATCGGATCACAGATACGCATAATAAATCCGGAAGCATATACAAATTCTATGCCGCACAGCCTTGTCATACCATGGCACTGGAAAACGCTTGTAATCCTATTTAAACAAATTGATCAAACATTAAATGATTGGAAAACTATGAAGCTCAGGGATATATATCAGATTCTTAAAAAGCAAGACCTAACAAAAACGGAAATAAATTGGAAAGAAGTAAATTTAAAACAGCGCTACCTTAAAAACTACATCTCCAATGCAGAAAGAGTCTGTAGCTACAGAATAGTCCAAAATGGATACTTTTTCGGAAACCGTCGCAAAGGCACCTCACTCCGCCATGATCAATTCGGAAAAATTAGGATCCTAAATTGTAAATTTTGTGAAGCGAATTCGGACTCTACTGAACACATTTTCCTCCACTGCTCAAAAATAACCGAGCACATCCAATATTTACAAACTTGTTTGAACGCAATCAGCCAGCAAAAGATAAAAACTACAAACAAAAATATTTACTATAATAGCCACTCGGGACCACAACTTATAGCGACAAACAAACTCTTCGCTATTATGAAACGGGAAACAATAAAACTGAAAATAAAATTAGATATCGAAAACCGATATATTGGCCCTTTTGATATTGGCATAACAACAGCCACAATCAAAATGTACAAAGAATTCCTGAGCACTATAGAAAATAAATACGGAGATACTCGGTTGTTAGGAATAGTCCCAAACTGGAAGATAATCCTAAACGGATATGAGCGAGGCTAATATACGTAACATTAACCCAAGGCCATACCCCGCTACCCATAAATGGTAGCTTAGATAAGTCAATACCATCTACCGCCCCGTCGGAAATGATGAAACGGAAGCTTCGGGGGCGGCAATTATGCTATGTTCACAACCCCCTGACATACGTATGATTGCTGCATATGCAGCGATATGTTTATGAAGCGTATTACCGTTACAACTCGGACATGACGTATTGATATAATACCGATCCGATTTCACATCCGTACTCTGATCCGATAAAAAAAAAAAAAAAAAAAAAAAAAAAAAAAAATACTATGGTTCGGAAAGGAATCTCAGTGAGTCGTGAAAAGATGTAGTAAGCTTTGGTTAATTATACTGGTTAGTAGGATCGGTGGCGACTCGAATACATAGATCTTCAAAAAAATAAATTAAATTGAATTTATATTATAATCTGTGAAAGTTTCCTTTTTACGAGCTTCTCAAAAGAACAAAACTTTTCTACACAAAAAAAGACCACGCGGCTTTTCACGCATAGCAGTTTTGTACACTGGACAGCTCTTCTTACCGTGTTTCCCCCAAAAATTTGGACAGGATTTAGTTATATTTTCTTTTGAAGAATAACACTATGTTTTTTTGGAAGAGATCATATGTATTCATTTATCAAAAATAAAATTACATTGTAGAAAACCACAAGATTTTTTACTAAATATTATATAAAAACCGACATCCATTGTTGTCCAATCCAATAGTGGGTCCCAACTCTAAAAAGTTTGGGAACCACTGGTCTAGACTTTAGAGCATTATATTTTTTGACTGCTCTTCAGCCTGATTTAAGTCGCAACCACCGAGAAATAAAAGGATCAAACCCACATGATGATGGAATGATTTAATTTTATTAATTTATTCAGATTTATTCTTTTATTGTCGTGATATATTCTCAATAATTTAATCTTAAAACGTTTCAAAAATTCCTTCCAGGGTAGAATGATTATTTGCCTCAAAATTGACAAACTTTTATCCGTTGTAAATAAAATAGAATATTTACCTCATTCACGTAAAAAAATCATATTTGTATATACATTTATCTGAGCTTGATCAAAAAAATGCAGAAGTGTCACAATAATAACATGATTTAAATTTTGACAGCAATATTCTATGATAGTTGCGGATCAATGACATGCGAAGAAGTTTTATTGTGGAGAAGGATAAGACAGGACAACCGTTCAAAAATCAAGATCAAGCGTACAAAAGTTTTATTATTTCTTCATTGTTTTTCTCCGCATTGAAGCGGGTGACCGCAGATAAAACTTAAATTCGTGATAATGAATCCAGATATGTCATAAGATATACTTTATACAGCATCATGACAATCATTTTAGAGTTTCTAAGAAATAAAAAAAGAATTTTTACTTTACGATAAATCAACAAGTTCGATTTTGAACTTTGATTCATCAAAGATGTAATAGACTTAAGCAACGGATTTCAAAGCCATTCTAATCCGAGCTACCCATAGATCCACAAGGATATATTTATTGGGTGATATGGAAAGACGAGTGCTTGAGACGCAGTGAATCGGTGTCGAATCGGATACATTCCCGATATTTATTGATGCTTCATCAGTCACTAGGATTTGCACGTTTGTTGCTTTGCTCGTCTTAGACATCAAATCCTGTGTAAAAGATATAATTGATATTGCTCGTACGATAAATTATGACTAATGCGTGTATTTCGTTGGAAATTTATTTGTCTTTAATGCAGTCTATAATATTTATTAATTATGGTATTTGAACCCTAATAAATTCTATTTTAACATCAATGTGATCGGAAATATAATATAACTGTAACGTCAAAAGAAATAGAGTAGAATAAAGCGAATTCATTGTTCAAATGGGCAAAAGTTATTTTTGATTAATATATTTGCATTTTCTGCAATTTAAAGAACATTTTAAACTTTTTTTTGCAATAATAAAGTCAATAAACATTGTTATCGAAGCGTGACCCAGAAATATGAGTAAAATAAATAAGAAACGCGTAATACATTTCAATAGCAAGAACTGTATTCAATCAAATATACAAATAATTTCAGAATTTCCCGATTTGTATTTTCCAAATCACAAACAATAAACAATGACTTTTTCAAATATGAAATACCTAATCACCTCCAGATGAAGTTTATACACTCTTCCCATCTTTTGATTTTCTCGATTCCACTGAATTGAAATTCTTGACTGGAAGCAAGAAATCTGTGAAACTCCTGATTTCAAGATAAATATCCTACATAATTAACACGGAAGTTCTGTGAATGAAAATTATTTTATACTATTCCTGATTTTTTATGGGAATCAATCTAATAATTTTTAGGCCTGAGGCAAAGGATATTCTGGTGCGTCAGTAATCCCTCACTACTATTTTATCATCCACATTCCAACTATTTATTAAAATATTGCAATTTTTTTAAGATTGAGGATTCCATTAAAATTCAAGATTGGGACCATAATAACACCCAGCACCAATGTAATGGTGGCTGACAATAGTTATAAATAAAAGTTCAAACTTGATATTTTGAAATCATTTACAAAAATAAAGATGAAACTTACTATTTTGACAATTTTCTCCACATGCTTTTGAAATTTCTTTGACAACCAATTTGTGTGCAAGTTCCCGAATTATGACATGGAAATAACAAACATCTGTCAACCACTTTAAAATTCAAAGCAAACTCATATATTAGAATATTATCTTTAGAAATGATCAAATTTCATTCAAATTTTGAGAAAGTCATGGCATTTCCACCACGACGCAAAAGAAAGTAAATATCAAGAAATTGATCTAAACAGCAAATGAAATTGGGAATATATATATCGATATATATTACGCACCTTCAGATTGAGTTCCCTGATATTTTGGACGACAAGCGCACTTGTAATACGGCTCTTCAGTCGAATTTCTACAAGTTCCCCAGTTTTTGCAAGGTGACGAATCACACGTGTCTAGAAATATTAATCAAGAGATCAAAATGAGAAAAAAATGAATGTTACCTTAGATCTCGTGCGGACACAATTGCGAAATAGTAAAAAATTGATAGAGGAATCGTAAGCTACCACTGACATGCAAATGCTGACTGTGGATTCACTGATGCTGTATAGATAACAGAAGATCCAGATGGAAAGGTGATTTGGAGAACTATTACTAGTGCAAACATTAACATAAGGACGGAAATCTGATATTTATCTTACGAATTTTAAATTAGATTGCAAGCATAATCGGACAATGCGCAGCAACGAGAAACATAAATATATACAAGTAAGTATTAAGATATAGAATAACATTTTGAATTTCACTTACTATTCAGAGATTGTCCTTGCATAGAAGTGACCAAAACAATCGAAATGATCAAGCCAATTCCCATAGTAGTAACAACTCGTTTCCATATAACACTAATTTACTTTCACTCTATTTATTCTGTGAAATAAAACTTCTGTATTATGGCCCGCAACCTGATCCTGTAAAATGAAATCTTTGAAATTGCCAATTACAGTGCATTTGGTACGCGCTGAACGTCAACGTACGTTTGTTTGCTTCCACACGCTGAAAAAGTAGCACCATCACCATCAATCACATAAATTTGTGCACAGAGGGCATTTGATGAATTTGTGCTGAATCACGTTTGCTGAAATTTGATCCGTTCGCGAATCACCTGAAAATGATCATTAAAATACAATCGGTGCAAACTAACCGACCTGGATTGGTGTATCTTACTTCCGCGTGGGGAATAACAACTTCATAAGAATAATATTTCCGAGTAACAATATTCGGTAAAGTATTTTTTGATTCATTTATCCGTGTGTTTATGTGATAACTGGGTAAAATGTTGTTAAAATGAGACATGAAGCTGTAAGACCATCCATTCTCAGGTTACCATGAATTGAGGTATAACCATAAAAAATTGAGATCGTACTGTATCAGTGCATTTAAAGGCACTTTTTTATACCGTAGCAAAACATATTTTAACTTGGTATAGCCTGTTAGCAGTAGGGATAAATACATAATGCCAGTCGTCATCTTTCCACCATATAGTTTTATTGGGCTGCCATATAAGAAGAAGTTTTGGATTTCATTTTTGAAAAGCTACAAATATACATAACAGTCACATTAATGGCACAATATGGTGATGCAGCTTATGGCAATGTAACATTATAGGGTAACAATATTTAGTAAAATAACGATGAGTATTTGGCATATCCACCTGAAATATTGCTAAATGAGTCAAGGATCCGACTCGACCTGAGATTGTTGATCAATCTATTTTCAGCCTGCCGTGAGGAACGGCCGTACAAGCAAATTTTGTAATACCGTGTCTTCGTTACACTTTCCATTCCAAAACATTTTCGTATTTTTTTAGATAATTTTTTCATCTGGTTGCTTCATCGTTATATATTTTTTCATTTGTAGGTGCCGCTGACAAGATGACCTGTTGCCTACCAACTGTTAAGAGCCAATATCCGTTTTCAATTTTATCATAGCGTTGTTTAATATTGATTATTACATTCTGAAAAAAATTATCAGAATCTACTTCTATATATCGTGTTAGCAGTAGAGATGAATATATGGTGCCTATCGTCACCTCTCTTATACATAGTGATATTGGCAGGCTTGTCTATTGGAAATATTTTTCTGCCCCATTCCCATCCCACCCCATAGCAATTATTCCTGTCCTATCCCATCCCATGGGATTTCCATTGGAATAAAATTCGTTAAAAATTGTTAAATTTAGGTTTAGCGTGTACTAAATAGGACTACATGTACAAAGAGACATGCAAAACAACAAAATTTACGGACTTTGTTAACTTTAAATCCGTAACTATTTTATATGTGTCAATCAGCCCTTTCACAAGCCCAAGTTTTTTGTTAATGCTGAATATATTTCGCTCTTTATAACTAAGAAGAGAGTTTTGCTCAAATATCTGGACACGAAGTCCATAACGAAATGTTTTACCCTCATTTCCCCGAAAATCATACGGTATTTCGTGTCCCATGGGAAATACAAATGTGTGTCCCACCTCATGGGACGTTTCCCGTGGACAAGCCTGGTCATCGGACTATCGAATCTGCTGTATGGCTTTGCAACACAGCTCGAAATCTTCTATGGATGTTAGTGTTACTAACTTGGCAAGCATACTCATTCGCGATCCTGCATCGCTGTCAATGCAAAATCTCAGTCGCAACCTCAGAACGTACTAAACAACACCTCCACAACGTAATATTCCTAAAGTGTTACAAAATTCATTGCAACATGAATCGAGTATATATCGTAATAACGGAGAGTTTCGACCAATTTTCATATTTTATAATTAGGTAAAATGTTCAAAGAATATTTCGCTCGTGGCCGCCAAGCATTCTTTGTGGCCAAACAACGTCCATACAAAAATCATACGAACAACTTAGATCAAGATATCATCATGATCGACTGCCTTTTATTCATCTGTCTGAGATACAGAGTTTGATTTCTCTCTTTCATCCATTGCACTACGTTTGTACTTCGGATTAGCAAGTAAAAGTAGAAATAAGGCCAAGATATTAGCTATCAGGGGCACCAATGACGCCATTGCTTCGTCGTAAACTTCCAATATAAATCGTTCAAGAGAAACGAACAATACTGCCGCTACATTGAGAGTTATGTTGTATAGCGTCAACATTATTAGATTATTGACAGGATATGTAGCTTCAAGCAGCAATTCAGGTATGATTACACCAGTCGGTAATCTAACAGACAATGTTAAAGGATATAATATTACGATAGCAATAATGTTTTTGAAGTGATGTCCGAGAAATATTCCAAGTGAGCACATAACTATTGCAACGAATGCTGAAAAAATCCGAAAAATACATTTAAATTACATTCCTGGTCATTATTACATAACATTGGTCATTATTCTATAGTTACTATAGTATAGTATACTCAATATATTTCATTTCGTCAGAGGACTTTAGCTGTTTGCATTACAAAACTGACCATCAGCGAAACATCATAGACATGAACAGAGGAACTACACAATTTCTTCCAGTTATAGAATATGGCTCGGTAATCTTCTTTCGATAGTTTTGAACATATTAAAAACTTGCCTAGGATACTCACATACTATACACGACTCCTTGTAGTAACCGAAGCTATCCAAGAATCTTCCAGTTACGATAGATGTGAGAGCTGCTACACATGCTCCAATGGTCCGTAGCAATCCTGGAAACGAATCTGACATGCTTGGAAATGTCTTCAGTATCATGGAAGAGTTTAACACTCTTATCATAGCATATACAGAAACCGTTAGTGCGCGGGATGTAGTTAACAACAAAAAATTCCGGTTCCGTAGCAAATCGACAACTGTCTTTAAATTTACTATCCAATTAGTTTCTTTTTCCTCATTTTTGTGTTTTATTATGTTTTGTTGTGCAGCGGTAGGGGGAGACGGAGGTTGATCAGCAGCAAATATCCACATGAAAATCGTGGATACGAATAACAAAAAACAAAGCACTCCAAATGTTGACGCAAAAACTTCTTGAATCTTATTGGGAGAAATTAACCCTACGTTGGCATCAGTGGCATTACCAAAGACGCCTGAAAAAAGTGCGCCAGAAAGAGCATAGCCCACAGAACCTGAAAGCCAGGCCATACCAATGACTGTTGCCCTTTCATTCACAGGAAACCAGCTAGCGGCAAGTGTCATTGGAAGAATGTAAAAAACTCCGTCAGATAGTCCAACAAGTGAGTTTCCAATTAGCAGCAAATAATACGTCTTTCTAAAAAATGTATACACGATTAGGAATCTTTCATGCTTGTTGAATAACTTAAAAATATTTTAGTAAAATAAGGAAATTATATGGGCGTTATGGAAGGGAGAAACAGAAGACAAATTGTAACGAAAAGATATAGCACATTACAAATATTACTGAGGCGGGAATGGGTTTCTTATTTTTTATTGTTTTATATTTTATTTATGTTAGTCGTCAAGTTATTGATTGCATATGCATTGGTGTGTGGAGTCTGAGCCCTAATTCACCGATAGTTAGATCCAGTTACTCGACTCCAACCGCCACTGCATATGTGAACTGTGCTGTGGGTTCACAGCGTCGGCCTCTTTGCTTTCGCTGTCGCTGAGTGAGTGCCGTATTTTTGTCTCTTATTTTATCTGCTTTAAGCGTGGATTTTACACTATTTAATAAGGTTTCTTCATTTGCATCGTGAACTTCGAACCTATTTGTGTGGCTTTGTAGCACACGGGATCTTCTGAACTAATTATTACTAGGCTCTATTAGTGGCGAGCACATTCCGGTAAAGTCGTACTGCTGCATTACGGTTTCATCACTTAAATTGTACAAACCTGCTGATGAATCCAAGTACGTTGCACAGCATTCCAAAGAATGCACAAACACATCCAAAGATCAATTGCATCCTAACACCAATTTTTCCTGCGAATAGAATCAAGAAAGGCGACACAAATATTCCCCCGGCATGAGCTATGACAGGCAGAGCATCTGTTGCGTAAGGAGTTTCTTCAAAGAATAAAGTAACTACGTTGTTAACAGCTCCGTAAGATAATGTTGTGAACTGATAGTTGAATATACCAATATTCAAGGCGGC